TCCTTTTTCCGGAAAACTGTTCCGGAAAAGGGCCAGTGGTAGACAGCACAGTAGTGTCTTCCGCAAAAAAGCCCCAATCGCGAAAATGATGATCTACATTGGCACGGACGCTACATTGGCGCGTCTACATTGGCACGGATGCTTTTCCGGAAAAAGTGCTTTTGCGGAAAAGCATCCTGCCAATGTAGACGCACTTTTTCCGGAAATACTTATAACGGAAAACTGTTCCGTTTTAAGCATTTCCAGAAAAGGGTGCCAGTGTAGACGTAGCCCTTTAGTGTAGACATACCTTGAGGTGATCAATCTCCAGAGGCAAAGATTTCAATGTGTCTGTTTAGTGGGGCAGAAGGGGCCCCAAAGAGTCACCTCTCCTGCAAATTTTGGCTAGTGTTCATCCAATCACTAGTTTCATATCTAAGGAGGAAAAGAGCCCCGGTTGGATCAAGATATTCTACAAGAAAAACTAGACTATTTTAAAACATTTTAATGGCCAGATATTAAAAGGGGGAAAATGTTCTTCAAATACTTAAAAGTCTTCTCCATATGTCAGGCAGTTTTACAGTCCCGCGTTATGTGCAAAACCCCAAAGCAACTGAGGATCAAGCCTGTAATCCCTTTCCCTTAGGAGCCATTGCAAAACATGCAAGACACAAATCCTCAAGACAATAGTAAGGGATGAGAAAATAATAATGACTGATTCTTATGGATATGTGTACAAGGGGCTGTGCAACCTCTCACTTGTGCCCCATACCAGAATCCTGACTTGAAACAGCCTACAGTCTAAAGCAGTGGTCACCAACCTGTCGATTGCGATCGACAGGTCGATCGTGGCACCCCTAAGAGTTGATCGCTGCAGCCAACTGGCTGGCAACTACCCCTCTTTGATCCAGCCCAGCTGGAGCTCGGTGCAGCCTTGGCAGGCTGAACGCTGTGGCCACCTGGGCTGGAGCAAAGAGGAGCAGCCGCCCAGCTAGCTGGCCAGGCGGCTGCCCCTCTTTGTTAACTTGCTGGCGAGGGGGTGGGGGGAGGCATGCATGCACCCCCAGCTCTTGCCTCCTGCTCCAGTAGGGGGCAGGGCTGGGCATACTGTGCAGGACAGGAGCTGGGTGGCCGGCACACATGGCACACCAGGACCCAGGCTACGCCACGCTGTTCCCCACGGGCTGTGTGCAGGGTTGGGGAGCCCCTTCCCCAGTGCCCCACTGTGCCTGTCTGGGCATAAGCCAGCCCTGGGCAGCCCTGGGCTCTGCCTGCCCCAGCCCCAGCCCCAGAGCTGGCAAAGGGCTGGGACAGGCAGGGAAGAGACTCTGCCCACCCCCTGCCTCTCCTCACCCCAGCGCTGCTCCCAGGAGGCTGTGAGTCCCCACGCTGCTGTCCTGCTGGTGAGTGCACTGGGGGCACAGGGATGTGGGGGCAGGAGGGGGGTGAAGAAGGATTTGGGGGCAGGGATTGCACTGAGCGGGATAGGGAGATACAGGGGATCATGCTGTGGGGGAGGTGGAATCCTGGGGGTGAGGAGAGTGAGGCTGGAGCAGAGGGAAGACGTGAGGGAGGGGGGATAAAATTTTACTTTGCAGAAGTTGCACTTTCCTTGACTCCCCACTTCTTTGCCTCCCTCCCCAACTAGCTATTTGGCTGCTTTCTCGTCCTCTCACCTTTTCTGCGTTACTCCTCCCAACCCCCTCCCGCTCTCAAGCTCCTCCTCGTACCCCCACCCCACACCCTCTTCTGCCGCCAAACTCCCTTCCAGACCCTGCTCTCCTCACCCCCTCCTGCATCTCACTTCCTGCCCAGATCCTGCATCCCTATCCCACTCGCTGGCAGCCCTGTCACACACATTGAACCCCATATTTTTGTTCCCACCCCTGGGTCTGTCTTCACTAGCTCGTTAATTTGAGCTAGGTAGGCAAATGAGGCGACCAGAGTTGCAAATGAAGCCTGGGATTTAAATATCCCGGGCTTTATTTGCATGTTCCCGTCCGGTCGCCATTTTGAAATTTCACTAGTCCGAACCCACTGCTGCGCAGCTACACACTGCAGTGAAACGTTAATTCGAACTAAGTCCTTAGTTCGAATTAACTGTTACTCCTCGTGGACAGTCCTCCCTGTCCCGTCTCTTCACCCCATGGGGGCTGAAGCTGGGGGCCACCTCAGTGAGGGCTGGGGGTTTTGGAAGGAGTTTTTTTGCTTTTTACTTGTGTGGTCTCCAACTGATTTTTCTGTGGGTCAGTGGCCCCTGACACAAAAAAGGTTCCCCACCCCTGCCATAAATAAAGAAAACAGTGAAACCTTTTGTGTTGGACATAAATTAATATTTTACTTTATGTAAAATGAAGTTTGATCAACTAACATGATAAAGTTAAAATGCTCAATCTGTTTAATAATTTAAATTAAACCATTCTCTCCAGCTGCAGCACTAGCAAAATGGCTCAGGCGTAATTATGTAATTAACGGAGAGTTTCCATTAGCAACGGGAAAGGTTTGGAGAGGGCGGGGCCTCAAGGAAAGGGGTGGGGTCTCGGAGAAGACCCTGCCTTGGCCTGTAGAATAGTGATAGAGATGTAGCCGTGTTAGTCTGGTGTAGCTGAAACAAAATACAGGACTATGTAGCACTTTAAAGACTAACAAGATGGTTTATTAGATGATGAGCTTTCGTGGGCCAGACCCACTTCCTCAGATCAAATAATGGAAGAAAATAGTCACAACCATATATACCAAAGGATACAATTTAAAAAAAATGAACACACATGAAAAGGACAAATCACATTACAGAACAGAAGGGGGATGTGGGAAGGAAGGTGAATGCCAGTGAGTTAATGATATTAGAGGTGGG